AGCCCAAGTCGGACGCTTAACCGACTGAGCCACCCAGGTGCCCCAAGAAGTTTGAACAAAACAAGGTTTGGGTACTGATTCAGTACTTCCTTACCCGTTCAATTTTTTCTCTGGTCCTTTCAGTTCCTACAGGAACTTCATGAATATGATAATGGCAGCAAAGAAAGCTCATGACGGGATCAGGTGCATCAAATAACTCTCGCAAGTAAGAGAAAAACCCATACTGTCTGAAATGAAAAGCACTTCTTAGATTTTTCTTCTTAAAAATCATTTACAGAAATCTGACAGTCGAAAAGTGGCAAATAAATAAAATGTAATTTAATGATAGTACAGAAAAAGTTTTTCTTGGTGTCTTTTAAAATCACTTAAGTGATTAAGACTTCTTTGTCAGAAAAGTTTATTAATATATTCATGATTACAAACTATTTTAATCTTTTTCGTTTCTTCCATTGTGTTTACATTTAGAATGTCTACTTACATCCAGAGTTAATTACTTATAGCTGTTCTATAATTGCAAATTTTCCATTTAGTCCTTCTGGAATTATTTCTGCGTTATGAAGTGATGATTTGTTTTATTTTCCCAATACCTAACCAACTATTTTAGGATCTTTTAGTAAACAGTCCAATATTATTGCACTGATTTGAAACATCACCATCATATAGTAAGTATTCCATGGTTTGTCTGTTCTTAGATATTTCCTTATTTTAGACTTAAGTAGAGATCCTAAAAAGGAATAATACAGCCTATAACATCCATATTTATGTGAGAGATAATTAAAATATATGTAAGAGCTAAACATGGTTATTCAATTTTCAAAGTAACAGGTTAGTTCTAATAGTATTTTTAAGACTTACTTGAGGTCATTCAGAGATCTTGAAGGGGCTTTGTCTGCATATGAACTCTTGGGAGCAATAACAGCATTTACTCTTAATTTTTTATTGTCACGAATCTGAATATAAGGAAAAGAAAATATTTTAATTACCATATACTATCAATCAAAATGATTTTTTAAGTTACATTCCTCCTGGCATCCATGGGATGATCAGAAGCTGGATATTTAACGGTACTTACTTTTTTTTTTTTTTTTTAAAGTTTATTTATATTAAGAGAGGGAGCATGGGAGGGGCAGAGAGAGAGAATCCTAAGCAGGCTCTGCACTGTCAGTGCAGAGCCTGATATAGGGCTTGAACTCATGAACTGCAAGATCATGACCTGATCAGAAACCAAGAATCAGAGGCTTAACTGACTGAGCCACTCAGGCGCCCCTTTAATGGTACTTACAAGGAATTTTTTGTGTGAAAATGATTATTACACTTCCATGTTTTTAAAGAGTTTATCAGTGAAAATAGTGAAAGAGATATGCTCTAACAGATAAGCAGTAATACCAAAACTCGTTCAGACACAGGAAGAATGGAACAGGCATTTCCCAAATCCTTTTTATAATTCCAGCACAATCCTGACACCAACACCTGACAAAAACAATATCTCTCATGAATACATATGCAAAAAGCCTCTACAAAATATTGGTACACCGAATCCATTAATGTAAGAATAGTACACATGACCAAGTAGAGTTTATCCCAGAAATTCTAGATGTAACATTCAAAACTCGATCTAATTATATCAAGGGACTAAAGTACAAAAGCCATATGACCATCCCAGCAGATACAGAAAAATAATGATAAAAAATTCTCAGCAAACCAGAACTAGAAGGAAACTTCCTTAACCTGATAAAGGGTGTCTATGATAGATGTATAGCAGACATAATACTTATACACAGTATTGGAAATGGTACTCTAGTAGATATGAGTACAGGAGGCGGTTAAATACATTTCACAATTTAAAATACAAAGTCATACATGTATGAGGGAGTTCTGGTCCTGTTGAGGAGAAGTTATGGAAAGTTAATTATCAGAGCACACACACAAAAATACAGGTCAAAGTTTTAGGAACCCACGTCACATTATCGATATGAGATTCAAATCCTTAGCACAGACGAAGCACTGAGTTTTTGACTCAAAAAAGGTATTCAGTGTAGGCTAAGCTGGTCATTTCCAACAGAAAGCATCTAATTACACCCGACTGAATGCCCTTTGCAGTGTGTCCTCCACTTGTAATCCAAATGCCCTACTTCTCACACTGGACCAAAAACTCACTGGTTAAGCTTAAAGAATTCTAAACTATACACATGTCTAACTTCTGGGAGTCCATTCTATAATTTGATACATGCGACTTCTCATCCAGTTACCATATATTCACATTCCCTGCCAACTCCCAAACCAGGAGGGCACTTCGATAAAAGCCAAAGAAAGTAAGGGATTCTTTCCAATCACTAGTGTACCACACAAAGAGGACCACTGCAGCTGATTCAGGATCCTGTCCTCGCTCACACTTGTAGCGAAAGTTTAACCAAAACAAAATCTAAACATGATCTTTAGGGCTTTTAAAAGAAGCAGAAGGTGTATGTAAAAGGAAAGAAATCTTACCATAGCAAATAACAGCTAACAATGTATGTTTTATAGATAACCATAACCCGGGTGGCTCAGGCAGTTAAGCATCTGACTTCGGCTCAGGTCATTTCACATCTTGCGAGTTCGAGCCCCATGTCAGGCTCTGTGCTGACAGTTGGGAGCCTGGAGCCTGCTTCAGATTCTCTGTCTCCCCGTCTTTCTACCCCTCCCCTGCTTGCACTCTGTCTCTCTCTCTTGCAAAAATAAACATTAAAAAAATTACTTCTAGATACCCATATATAATAAAAATATTTGCAAGCACTGTTCTAAATACTTTTCCATTGATTAATAGAATTAATCCTCACAACCATCTTGTAGATAATGGATCTGCATTTTACAGATGAGGAAATTATGGCATAAAACATACAGGAAACTTGACCAATTTAGTAGCAAAACCAGAATTCAAATCTTGGCAGCCTACCTGTATGTAGGTCTATGCTTCTAACTACTAAGCCATCCACATTGCCTTTTAGTGCCTTAGATTCTCAGTGGTGTTTCTGTAGCCAGATACAGAATTCTCATCCTTTTTGAAGAGGTTTTATTGAAAGCAACAACATATTGATTCCCACGCTCCCGGCCAAAGAAAAACCGAGTTCATTCCAATACATTTCCAAAAAGGATTTCTAAGACCAAAGGCCCTTCATTACATTTTTTTCTCTTAAAAGAGTGTGACAGAATTATTTTTACGAATTCCAAATAACTTCAAAACACGTTTCAGGTGGAATTATGGGCTGTTTTTTCTCTTGCAAAACAAATTCATTCCCCAGTAATGACACAGATTAAAAAAGAAATTAACAAAATTGAATGATTTTACACAAGAGTTACTGCTGGTATTAGTCACTATTTTTGTTGTAGTTTGAATTTAAAAACTTAAGCACTAGAGGGTAAGCACCAGATGAATCAAAGTATTATGATGGTTACTTGCCTCTCTGAGGAAAACCTCCATATCTTCTTGACTTTCAAATACAAAAGCTCTTAAGTCATTTGATGAAATATGATTTTCAATATATTTGGCATTTTTATTATCTTTCATATTGATCTAAACAAAATGAAAAGAAAATATAAATTGATTTTCATGAAATCCAAACTGATTGAAAGAACATTAGTTTTACTTAGATGTATTTAATCAGATTAAATACTTAAGGGAAAAAAATGAAAAACACTTTGTACTGAGACAACATTTCAACACCTCTATAAGTTAGTACCGGGAAACATTCAATACATAGTAAAACAAAAGCCAACACACGAATGAGTACCTGAAGCTTATCAATTTGATACTATTCAAGAAATAATGAAGTTCCTTTCTAGTCCACTCATTAAAAACCTCTGCAATAGGCTTAGATTGTAATCTAAGAGTATAAACATTTCTCCTCTATCCCCACACTTTTAGTATTTTTCTTCTTAATCTTCAAGAGGAATTCACACTATACACGGCAATAACCAATCAGTTCAAAAACAATGAAAAAAAAAACTTGCTCTGAATGAATTTTAACAGTGTTTGCAAGAGAAATCCTAGGCTTGTACCACTAGAACAGAAACTTTAAGATTTATTTTTAAAATATTAACAAATAAGGCACTTCTGCATGTGACACTCAATGCTATGGAAAATACTAAGATTGGTCAAGAAAACATTATTTCAAAAAGACTACGCTATTATTTTTTGCAGATGGTAAGTATGTTGAAAAGCAGAACACAAGATAAAGCTCTATAACAGAGGTGCATAAAAAGTGCTATCTATGGAATTTTGGGAGCTGGGATAGATTACCTTCAGCAGATGGAAATCAGTGTTCTTGAAAAAATAAAGATTTATGAAAGAAAAAGTATATGTACTATATATAAAATATAGCATACTAGTTAAGAGCTAAGTCTCTGGGGTCAGACAGATGTTGCTTCAAATCAGGTACAACTTAAATTTCTTAAAATTTTAGTTTTTTACCAAAATGGGTATAGTAAAATAGTCTGTATCTCAGGAATAAAAGGATTAAGACAGAATAAAAAATTTAGTGCAATGCTTATCATGTAAATGTTGGCAAATATTAGTATTTTAAATTATAAAATACCAATTAGCATAAGAATGGGAAAACTGATGAACAAAAAAATTAATACCATCACCAGGACATAGACACTATACCAAGTTAGTGTTTACTGTTTCACAATATTTTTTGGTACCAAATTACTTCATTAGAAGGAATGGTATAAATGAAAGAAAATTTAAGTGGGCGTTAGCTATAACTTTTAGAAAGGGTTAAAGTAACCCCAATGTGACTGCTGGAAGTCACCTTTTTAAAATAGTTGTGGATAAGCCAGCCTAAGACTCAGCTCTCCTTATCACTCTCTCCTGTAACAGATGTCACATCTTTGGGCCTCCGTCTTGTGTGAGTTGGTTACGTGGTCATTCATTTCTTTGAAGAATTTCACTTGTTCATTTAGACAGCGAGTCTCAAAATTAAGTCACACAGGTCGGGGGTCATTTCTATCCCCACCCAGTTGGTGCACTTCCAGGAGTGACTAAGTCACACGTTTCTCCCCAGGTAGAATGCAAACTGCATTGCACTCATTCTGGCCTCGTGACATCCTGAAGGAAGATTTCATCATGTTGTCACTAGCTTCTTTGGTAAAGAAGATACCTGGCTAAGTTCTTCAAGGCCACGTCTTTGCGACGTAGTAAAGACACAGAGAGGTAGACAGAGGAGGCACAGCACTCCAAGGTGATGTGGTGGCTGATGGCAGACTTGTGTTTCAGCTCTTTAAAATGCACTCTTTTTCAGGGTGCCTGCGTGGCTCAGTTAAGTATCTGACTTCAGCTCAGGTCATGATCTCAGGGCTGGTGGGCTTGAGCCCCTCGTTGGGCTCTATACTGACAGCTCAGAAGCTGAAGCGTGCTTCAGATTCTATGTCTCCCTCCCTCTCCCTCTGCCCCTCCCCAGTTCAAGCTCTTTCTCTCTCTCTCAAAAACAAGTGAACATTAAAAAAATAAAATCTTTCTATACATCCTATCTTATAACCTGCTTTATAATTCATTAATAAGTCATAAATGTCCTTTTATATCAAGAGACCTAGAACATTTTTAATGGCTGCATAGTATTCCATTCAATGGATGTACAGTAATTTGCATGACCAAACAACAGCTTTGGGAATCTCATTCTCTGTCCCACCACCATTACAGTATTATAAACACTGCTGTGAGGAACAGAACTATAAACAAATCTTTGCACACTTCTCCCATCGTAGATTGGAATGGTCAGAAATAACGCTTGGAAATGGACTGCCAGTTGACAACTTCTATGACTAAAATTTTAAGTTGATATATTGTTAACTTGCCTACCTTGATGACATTTCAACTAGATATTGGAGGGTTAGGTGTGTGTATCGGGATGGGGCTAGGGGAGCAACACAGTTGGAAGAAGGTGGTAGGAAAGGTGAAGGGTTATTTCAGAAAGGATAAAAAAAAAAGAAGGGTATATCTTTTCATCTCAAAGATTCGAATGTAATTTGTAATGTAAATATATGCCTGCTAGTAATCCCTCTTGGTGACAGGCTACTGATAGGAGATGAAATGATAGAAGGATGGCAAATTTACTAACGTTGTGAATTATAATTTTGAGGTTGACATTTTAACAAAAATCTGTTGACAATTATTTGCATTATAATTTATTAAGGATCAAAATATTTTCTTATATTTTCTTTCAGTCCTTACCAGATTAATCAAAACAATAATGTCTGCATCCAAAACAGATATTCCCTTCTTGATCTGGCAAAAATACTCTAATAATACATACCTGAGCAAGAAGAGAATACAGTATTATGCATATTAATTTTGCTAACATAATCTAAGATATAAAAAAGAAAACTACATGAAATGATTTTAAATAAAGGATAACACAAACACGAATTACAGAAAATAGAAGTTTTCATGAATCCTGCAAGGATCTAAAGAAAAAAAAAAAAAAAATTACCCAGCAAAAACAATCCTTAAGTCATTTTGGTGTAAGTTTTACATTCATATTATACCTAATATATCGCTACCAAAGACTGTGGTGTTTACTTTCTTTTCCCTTTCCACGGCCAAAATTATTATTTTAAATATTTTAGATGGAAATTGTCCTAGCCATTCCATCTAAATTCCAATGAAGCCGGGGCGCCTGGGTGGCGCAGTCGGTTAAGCGTCCGACTTCAGCCAGGTCACGATCTCGCGGTCCGTGAGTTCGAGCCCTGCGTCGGGCTCTGGGCTGATGGCTCAGAGCCTGGAGCCTGTTTCCGATTCTGTGTCTCCCTCTCTCTCTGCCCCTCCCCCGTTCATGCTCTGTCTCTCTCTGTCCCAAAAATAAATAAACGTTGAAAAAAAAAAAAAATTTAAATTCCAATGAAGCCACACTTCATTAAATGATTTGCTAAATATAGCTTACCTTCTTCTTAATGACCCATGATCATCAAAAAGAGCTATCAAAGGTTTATGCTGGTTTCATTCTCAGAATTCTCAGAGTGCTAATATTTGTAGGTAATTCTCTTCTATCAGTTCCCCCATATCAACATAGTTATTTACAATAGTTTCCAGCCCTTTGGCAGCATTTAATCTATTGCCTGCTACCTAACCTAAGAACAACAACAGCCAGAAGGAACTAGCTAACCAAACTAATTTTATACATGATTTCTGGTCAATAAGCTAAGTTTCCTACTTTTCCTATTGTTGGTCAAGGGCCCTTTAGAAAACTCAGGTATGGATTCAGCAGCCTACCAACTGCCACAAGTCTGATAATGGAAAAGCATGTTGTTAATAAAACTAAGAATTCTTAAAACAACAAAAATCTATAACGATTGCAATAATAAAACTAACAGATGCTACCAAGACAAAATTTCTTACCGTGAGCATTATAGGTTCACAGACCCTTTGCTTAAATTTGTCCCGGTTATTTCTTAGCCATAAAACAGCATCATATGTGTCACGGTATCTCTGTCTCAGCTTATCTTCCTTTTGATTCATAAGATTGTCAAATCGTACAATATTATCACCCACGCCTAAAAAAGGAAAACAAAGTGTATCTTTGAAAACCTGCATTAAATAATACAAAAGGGTATCTTAGATCTCAAAGTTAGCACCACTCAGCAAGTACCCAACACAGTGAGAAAGCAAAACCCTGGAGAAATTATTATCAAATTTCCAAACACTTGGGATAAAAAAATGATCTTTAAGCTATCAAAAACAAATAGGCCACATAAAGAAGATTAAGAAATCGCTATATCTCCTAACACGAGGTGATTGCAATAGGCCTTCAAACTTCAGAGAGAAAAATTATTTTCAACCTAGAGTCATATATACAACAAAACCAGGTTAAAAGGGGACCATGAAATGAAGGTGTTGTCATTAAATCCCAGATATCTGTAATTAAATTCCAAATATCTCTTCTTACAAGGTTACCCAAAGATGTATAATGGAGCAATGCAAGAAAAAGACCCGGAATAGTTTTATCCAATACAGACAAGGATCTGTGATAAATCCCAGATGGCAGACACACGGAGGCTTTGAAAACAATCCATTTAGGTGGAAGGAAGGGGATAGGGGGGCTCGAGAACTCACAAGAATGCCTAATTGTTTTTGTTTTTTAAGTAGGCGGCACACCCAACATGGAGCTTGAACTCACAACCCTGAGATCAAGAGTCACATGCTCTAATGACTAAGCTAGCCAGGCACCTCAATTGTTTTTTAAGGAAACGATACAGCAAATGTTTTTCTGTTTTTGTTTTTGTTTTTGAAGGAAAACTAAAACCTTTAAAAAAGCTATCAGGGTGCCTGGGTGCCTCAGTCAGTTAAACATATGACTTTAGCTCAGGTCATGGTCTTGTGGATCACGAATTCAAGCCCCATATTGGTCTCTCTGCTGTTAGCGCCTAACTGTGCATACATAGCCTGCTTCAGATCCTGTCTCCCTCTCTCTCTCTGATCCTCCCCTGCTTGCACTCCCTCTCAAAAATAAACATTTTAAAAAATAATAAAATAAAAAATATCAATAAAAGGAAATCAGATCAAAATGTACTACCTGGCTCTTCTGTGAATAAGTTTCACTGTTGTAGTAACAAGTAATACTTGATATTTCTAGCTTTTAGAATTAACCCATAAACAGAGCCCATAAAACTTGATATGGTGTTCAATAAAATGTTTTCAGCCTTGAAAGAAATTTCAAGAGACCAAATTAGAGAACTTAGAGTGTCAGAAGGGTGAAAAGTAAACAGGATGAAAGTATCGGTATTTTTAGCTGACAAAGTGTGCACTCAAGCAATACTGACAATTGTTAAATGACAAAAGATTTAAAGATACTACAGTTAACCGATAATAAATGTTAAAGATTAGTAATTAGTATTAATACAATAATGCCACTTGAGGAATTACAATAGGGACAGGAGATGTTATGAGCAGGAATCTAAATACAAAGTACAAAACATCAAAAGATAATGTCTAAAGTTGATTCATCTAGCCAGGGCAAAACAAGAACATGATAAAAATATAAATGAAGGTCTATTAGAAAACACTGCCGAGGGGCGCCTGGGTGGCTCAGTCGGTTAAGCGGCCGACTTCCGCTCAGGTCATGATCTCACGGTCCGTGAGTTCGAGCCCCGCGTCGGGCTCTGTGCTGACAGCTCAGAGCCCG